CAGTATTATTATTGTTCATTTAAATTTTTTTACAATAAAAGTTACTAACATCTAAAAATATTTTATAATTTAAATTTAATTTTTTGATATTAATTATGTTTATTTCAGTTTACACTTTTGGAAGTTTGATTATCCAATCGTAAACTTTATTTATTAGTTAAACAAAAAAATAGTTTATTATGATAAATATAAATAGGTTGTTCCAAAATATCATTTTTTTTCAAAACAAGTCCTTTGCAAATTATCTTTAAAATCGGGAAACACTTAACGCAATACAATCTTATTTGTAATTTACGTCTCCACGCGTACCAGTACAAAATATACTAATAAAAATTATAATAAAATATAGCTCTACCATCTATACTACCCAGGTTTTATTCAATGGACTGTATAATAAAGCTTCAAATGCAATGAATAAAAAAACACTTGAAAAAATTGACTTAAACCATCAACCCTATACCATCACACCTCTATTGTCTGACCGAAGAGAGAAGAAAGGACAACCCCGTTATAGCATTTCCAGTTTTTTCATAATAATACCAGATAGGCAAGAAGAGACCGTGGGCAAGAAGAAAAAAAAAGGGTTAGACCGGGTGGACATAACCCTCATCATCTTCGAAGGATTCAAGTGACTTCAGCATGGCTAGTGATATTCCAACTGAACAAATAGAGTGTACAGTAGAAGCGATTCCAACCTTTGACGGAATGGGCATCAAAGACGAGCTCCTCCGTTCGATCTATTCCTTTGGTTTTGACAAGCCATCAGCCATCCAGCAACGTGCTATTGTCCCAATGATGAAGGGAAGAAACTTGATTGCTCAAGCCCAGTCTGGCACTGGAAAGACTGCTGCCTTTTCGATTGGTGTTCTTCAACAAATCGACATCTCTTCGAACGTCTGCCAGGCTATTCTCCTCTCCCCGACTCGTGAACTTGCTCTCCAGACTCAGTCTGTAGTCAAGTCTCTTTCTCAATACCTCGACATTAAAGTGTTTGCTTGCATTGGTGGAACATCTGTTAGAGAAACCATTGACTCCTTGAAGGACGGTGTTCAAGTCATTGTCGGTACTCCGGGCAGAGTCTTGGATATGCTTGACAGAGGAGCGATCAACCCAAATACAGTCAAGATCCTTATTCTTGATGAGGCCGATGAAATGTTGTCTAAAGGGTTCAAGGACCAGATGTACACCATTCTTAAGACTTTACCAGCTACTGTCCAAGTCGGTATGTTCTCAGCTACTATGCCCCTCGATGCTCTTGAGATCTCAAGAAAATTCATGGACAACCCCGTCAAAATTTTGGTCAAGAAGGAGGAGTTGACACTTGAAGGTATCAAGCAATTCTTCATCGATGTTAACAAGGACGAGTACAAAATCGACACTTTGATCGATTTGTACCAAGTCATCTCCGTCAACCAATCCGTCATCTTCTGTAACTCGAAGAGCAGAGTCGAATGGATCCAAAGAAGACTCCAAGCCCATAACTACCCGGTCTCTATCACTCACGGTGATTTGACTATGGAAGAGAGAAACAAAGTCCTCACCGAGTTCAGACAAGGCACAACCAGAATCTTGATCACAACCGATATGTTGTCCAGAGGTATCGATGTCCAACAAGTCAGTTTGGTCATCAACTTCGATATGCCAGTCTCTGACGAGAGTTACATCCACAGAATTGGTAGGTCTGCTCGTTTCGGAAGAAAGGGTGTCGCCATCGACTTCATCACTACTGAGGAGAAGGAAACCATCGAGAGACTCCAAAAGACTTACGAGACTAAGATCGTACCTTTGCCAAAGACCTTCATGGACTACCTTTAAATTCATAACTGAAGCTTAAATTATATTGGTTTGGTTGACAGTCCTCATATTACTATTTTATTGGTAAAAATATACTATATTTATAGCTTTATTCTTTTGCTTAGTATTTTAATACTAATTATTAATCGTTTAATTGATAGTTAAAATTATTAAAAAAATTAAATATGCTTAAATTAATAATAAATTATTATTATAGTTTCTTTTAAGTTACATAGTAATAACTGATATACTATAATATAGTATAAATTATTAATAAATTAAATCTAATATAAATCAATTATCGCGAATCATCTGGGTCGAGTTTTGCAGTTGTGAAATGTGTTTTGGCTGCGTGTAATGTGCGTCATAATACTCTTGGAGCCGACGAGCAGCAGCCTCCATTTTTATTCTATCTTGTGGGGTATCACACCACATGTCTGTAATTATCTCCTGAAGATCTTTGTCAACGGAAGAAATGTTAGGACGAAGCCCATTGACGACACCAGTGGCAACATTCCATGGGAATTTGAATTGAGCTTTTGGGTATGGCTCGTCCCAGAGCAACACTTCAGTGAGTGATATAGAGAAGGAATATATATCTGCGGATGTCTTATACTTCTTCTTCTCGAGCATTTCAGGGCACATGTAAGTTGGTGTTCCAATACCATTTGTGAATGTCATATTAGTCACAAGCATATTCACATTTCTCGAAGAGCCAAAATCAGTGAGTTTGCCATTAACTTTCAGTGTTGGGTCAAGTGAAAAGACCAACATGTTGTCAGGTTTCACATCTCTGTGTAACACACCATTGGAATGTAAATATTGCAGACCGAGTGCACCATCTATCATGATTTTCAGTCGAATTTGCACATCAATTGGTGTTTTACGCCGCTTATTCATCAGATCAGCTAAGCTCCCAAATTGGGCAAATTCGGTGACCATGCATATGTTAGTTGGGATAAACACAGCACCATAGAAGTGGACTATATAGTCACACCGGAACTTGTCGAGCATCGAAACTTCCTTCTCAAATTCTTTCATTCCTTCCTCCCCATTTTCTATTGTTTTCATCTTCTTAATTGCTACTTTGTTTCCTCTAAAGGTGCCCAAATAGACTATTCCAAAAGACCCTTTACCAAGCGTCTTATCACATATTAACTCGTCGGGATCAAGTCGTGTTGTGATTTGTGTTTCGACGTCGATTTTAAGCGACTCGGTAAACTCAACTCCGCGCTTCACATCGAGACATGTCATCACAAACAAATCGTCTATTTTACATGTGCAGAGTGGTTTGATATACACTTCAAACTCACACGCTCTGCCTTTCTTTAAAGTGACCAATTGTGGATTTGTGCGCATCTCAAATTTGGTGTTGGCATCTTTACAGGAAAGTTGCACTTTCAATGTATTCACTTTTGTGTTGCCGATACAGATAAGTTCTTTTGATTCCTCCATCACTGGAATCAAGACTTTATCACCTCCGTCGTCTATAAAATCAATGGTCGTCTTGTTAGATACGATACCAGTCTCCTCTTCTAATACAAAGAAATGAATGTTCGAACGTTTAATTTCGAATTCACAAATATTGCGATGCTTCTCTATTTTCTTTAGCTTCTTGCTGATGTAAAATCCTAATATGCCAGCTACTACTAAGATGATAAGAATAACTATGACGACGACTATAACAGGTACGCCTATTATCATGAAGTAATTTTTATGCGAAATACACTCGGTACCTGAACTTGACACTTCATAACCATTTTCACACATACTGCACTTGTTATTTGTTTCCGCCAAACAATGTTCTACTTCGTTAAACGGAACACAGGTACTAAGTAAAGAAGATGTCGGGAGCAAAATGAATGAATTGTTGCACGAAGTACAATCAGATTGTTGGGAACCGGATTTTGAACTACATGTTGTACATACTTCGTCACATTTAAAACAATATTGAGAATTGATGTAATAACCATCCTCACATAAGACGCACCCATTTGATGTGATATTAAGACAATTGGTTATTTTCGACTCATGAACGCAGATACCTTGTTTGGTGTCATAGAAGTATCCAGCCGTCATGTTGCATTCTAAACATTTTGTTGCTTCATTGATACATGTAAGACATGATATGTCACACTTGATACAATCTTGTTGGGACAAGAAATACCCATCTTTACAAACTACACAACCCGTAGAAGTTGGGAGGAATGTATCACATCGTTCAGATAATGCACCAATTGCTTTACATGTAAATGTGTTCTTGTCATATGAATACCCAAAGTTACATGTAACACATCGTGTTGATTCACTCGCACATGTTTTACAATTCGAGTCACACACTTTGCACTCCCCTCCTGTTAAATAATACCCTTCAATACACCGCTCACACCCGAACTCATTGGCAATGTCACACCTTGCCATCTTTTCCGTACCACAAATATATTTACCATAACTGTCTTGGCTCAGTATTGTGTTATTATCACACACTTTACATTTGACATTATTGTTGTTATCTACACTCTCAAATTTGCAATTTTCAGTTGTAAGTCGTTCGCAATTTCCATTCGACGTTTTTACAAAGTTTTCATTACATAGAATACAAGTCGAGTTGGAAGAAATTAAACAGTTAGCAACAGTGTTTGCAACACATGTTCGACTTTTAAAAATGTATCCATCTTTGCACTCAAAACATGATGTATCGTCACAAAGAGAACAACCTTCCCCACAGTTATAACATACTCCAGTCTTAAGTCCATATCCAATCGTACATTCAGAACACCAATTCCCTTTACCACTCACACACAACTCATCTTTAGAACATGTGTCATCTTCAAAATAATACCCAGAAGTGCAACTCATACAAATTGAGGTGTTTTTACATTGGTTACATCCATCAGTTAAACAAGATGTACAAGTTGGTGGATTCACATTTAATAAAGTAGACGTAGCTTCACATTTAAAACACCCTCCTTTCGACTCAAAAGCACATAATAAAGCACCTTTTCCAAACGTTTTTGTTGTTGGGTAATATATATTGCACGTTATTACATTCTTCTCTGGTTCCGTATAAAAAGCACATGTGTTGTTTGTTTCCAAAGCAACACATATCCCACTTGGTGAGATGGAGTATTTGCACGACTCACATCCAATACTTGATGTTATTTCGGCTTTGACACAAAACTCGGAATTAATGTATTCACTGCATACACCACTCCTTAATACTAACCCTATTTTACATTTAACACAATAAGTGCTGTTAACACATAATTCACACGAACTGCCACATTCAACACATCTCCCCGTATTGTCAACAACTGTTAAACACAATTTGCAATTTCCTTGATCATCAAATCCATTTCCTTCACTACAATAATCACACACAAAACCATCTCCTCCAAGTTCTGCATTTTGATGACACTGTGAACAACCAGCCATCAAATTACTGCACTGCTCACATATTCCATTGTTTGAGAAAAACCCATATCCACACGAAACACAATTCCCATTGTTTACAACGTAATTTCCAATACACTTTTCACAGACAAACTGAGTTGTGTAACCACACTTCTCACATATCGAAGACTCACCAGAGCATACTAAACGTTATTTATTTTATTCTGTTATATTGTCAAAATAACAAACAGCTGCACGTTCCATCTTTCAAAAAGTAACCATTTCCACAGCTCGTGCATGTGAATCCAGTTGTTGAGCAACTTTCACATCCCGGAATAGACGTCGCACAATCACCACAGCTGTTATCCATTTTTAGAACGTAAGTGTCATTACATTCAATACAAATAGCGTTCGATGAACATTCTTTGCAATTGTCTCCACATTTAGAACACCAATTTCCATTTTTAAAGTATCCTTCATCACAATCAGCACACGAATCATCAATTTGACTACATTCAGAACAACCAATTTGTGTCGAACAGTCCAAACATCCACCATTGGACAAATAATACTTGTAGAGACATTTCTCACAAACATCTATTGAAGTAGGACAACTGTCACAATTAACGTCTTTACATGTTGTACACTTGCCACCAACTGCTTCAATGTTATTTTCACACATTTTGCAACCAGATTCAGTCGTGGAGCACATCACACACCCACTGATATCCGAACATAAAACACACTTATTTTCAGTGAGAGAGTACCCTTCTTTACATTGTGTACATTTTGCATTCGGACACACAGCACAATTCGTAACAACATTGTTGCACACATCACACGTGCTTCCTTTAAGATAGTAACCAGATGAACACGTCAAACACTTTGCTTCTATTGTTGAACACGTTAAACAAGCTGGACTAATTGTGGTACACGCACTGCATACACCACTATTTGGATACCCTATTGTACAATTTGTGCACTTCCCATTTGTGGTACAATTTTGACAATTTGTGAGGGTATTGCACTTATTACAGGAAGACGAAGACAAGTAATACCCATCAGAACACGACAAACACACAATTGGGGAGTCGCATGTTTTACATGTATTTGATGTTGTATTCAAACACAGATCACAGGCTCCAGTTGTCGAATTCACAAAATAACTTTTTGAATTACAAGTTTTACAAGAGTACTTTGTTTTGTCACAAGTGTTACAATTAGCAAACGCGGTACCACATGATACACATTTCCCACTTTTTAAAGTGTATGCCTCGGAATTACATTCAATACATACAAAATTATTGTTACAAGAAGCACAGTTGGGTGTAATTTCTTGACAAGCTATTTGTTATTAAATGTCCTGTCATTTACAACAATACAAACTTTTACATGAAACTCCTCCCCCAACAAGACTTTCTTGTTTGTAGCCACTTTTACATGTTAAACACTCGGCTTTAGATTGATTACAAGTTGCACATCCTCCATTAATATTCGCACACTCGGAACATGAATTTCCATTAAAGTAAAACCCAACATCACATTTGGTACAAACACCTGATGGGCATTCAACGCACTCAGAAGTAACAGTATCACATGCTGTCTATTATTTCCAATGTTGTGTAAAAATAAAAGCAAACCCTTGCATGTCCCCACAGAAAGATAGTATCCCGTGGAATTGCAAACTGAACACACTTTTTCATTTGAGTTACAAATGGTGCACCCTTCAATTGAATAGCATGGTTTACACTCGCTGTTTTCAAGGTAAAACCCAAAAATGCAATTTGTACATTTACTTGACGAACACTGTAAACAATTTGAATATTGTGTTGCACAGAGATCACATTTAGTATTACTCAAAATGTGATTCGAATCACAAACATCACATGCATATGTTGTATTTGAGCACTGTTCACACCCTTCGATATCACACACTTATTGTTATTAAGAACGATAAAAACATTTAACAAACGTTTGCATTGTCCTTCTGACAAAGTGTATCCAGTCACACACGTTGAACAACTTTCTGCTGACATACACGTGTTGCAGTTGGTAAGCGAACACACTTGACACTCTTTTGTTGTTTGGTCCAAATAATATCGTGACGAACAACTTGTGCAGCTGTTGTTACTTGCAGCAACACACCCCGACATAATACTAAAATGTACACACCTTCCTTCATATAACAAGTTCTCACTTTTGCATAGTGTACAAACTTCACCCACGGCAGTTGTACAATTGACCAACTCTATATGTCAAAACTGGGCGTTTAAGAACAGAGAACAAACCAAAACATTTGTTATTTTCTAAGTAG